TCCTCCTTATTCTCTCTATATTTCTCCATCAAACCTCTCGATAAATGTATGGCTTCCATAGTAGACCTACCCGGCATGAATCTATTAGGCAGTAAGACAGCAACAGTTTTTGCCCAAAACTGTAGGCCTACTAACTTGAGTCGATCTTAGCTAACAAAAGGGATTTGTGTCATATCAAGTATATCCTATAATTCATTACTCATGGGTTTAAAGTCATTAAGGAACATACAAGCTATGGTCGTGACTGTAATTTAGTGATACCATTTTGTGGCAAAACCACCAGGTCAAGTGTCCCAATCATAATTGTTTACATGCGGTGCCATTTGGCGAAAGAACCACCAATTAAAGGATGCATGTCACGTCCTTACTAGCGAAAGATGGTTTGAAAATGAATCTTAACGATACATTTGACATGACATTCGCTCTTGGTGAGCTGAATTTATTCTCAAATTTAACACCCCCGACAAAACTTTTGTGGAAAGGGGATGAATTTTTGCTTTAAGATTTTAGGTGATTAAAATTCTCTTCAAAGTGTCTTCTTACAAAACCACCTGAAAATCACTCCAATATGATAAAAGGCCAAGTAGGGAATTCATAGCACCAAAGAAAACACAAGTAGGAATTCTTAATATTTTGGCAAAAATAAATTATTAAACCAAAATATTACCTTCCCTACTCCACCAGCTAAGCTCTCATCCAGATTTGCAAACTTGTGAGAGACAATAAGATTGGACTTTCCTTTGGATAGTATATGACCTGCATATACTAAATGATAAAAATCAGTCATACATCAAAGAAACTATCAACTTTCCTAAAAGCAAACTAAGGATCATAAAGAATAATCATTCTTCCCAAAAGTACACCGTGCATGATTCGCTAAGATAATGACCTCATTCAAGAATCAAACCACGTCCACATCGAACAACTTACTCCCTGAAGATACATACCAACTGCCAGAATAAATCAAGAATTTTATTGCCAAGCTATAATTTAATGAAGAATTTAAAAGGTAACAATGGTAATGAAAATTAAATAATTATTGTAATATTATAGTAACAAGATTCATCAGTCATCCAAGAAGAAATGATTCATTCAACCTAAATAGTTTGTCCTTGAGGCTTCCAAGGCACAACAACAAAAATTGTATGACGAAACGGTGTGAATTAAAGTTATCCAAGTAGTATGAGTACAAAGGCAAGATGGAAGGGACAACAAACGACTAGTCATCAGAAAAATAAGCTGTCAGTATTGGTATGTTCTAATGAAACTTATGGAATAGAAACATGCATAACTAAAATAATCAAGCATTAAGAAAATCAACATTTCCTAATTCGTTGCAAAAAGTTTAGAAATAATGACCTCGGCCATTAACCCTCTGCCGGTAATGCCAAGTAATAGCAATAGCAATAAAAAATTTGATCGGACATGGTGAAAACTGGTGGCTCATAAAACCAATTTCTGGAAAACAATGATGTTTAAAATGGCAAAGAGGACCGTATAAATGCTACAGATGCTTAATGCAGATATCCTATAAGCAGTGCGTTCAGAATTATAGATTGCTGATTCACTAATAGTATCAAACAACCTTTAGGAAGACAATGCTAAAGTGATGCTAATAAAGCTAAGTACCTTGGTACATCATGTATGCGAAGTATTCGTCGTCATATTAATTGATGCATCTTTGTTATAGCAGAAATCTCCAGTCAAAGACAACTCTGTGCTCACCAATGCAGTATTCCTATAAACATTTGAAACCGACAATTTTTCATTACACTTTATTGAAGAATTAAAAGATGAGGAATAAGACCTGAAATGATGGATCGCTCATCTTTGATATAGTTGAATGTCCAATAAAAGATCAACTTATTCTCCTAAATCGACTTCTTATAAACAATTTGCCGATTATAAACATTAACAATATTATGGTCAAGCCAGAGTTAGATATCCGTTACGACGAGAGGGATATTCGAGGCTTACTTATGTGGATAGTTTCGGAACTTTTATTATAATTACATCACGATTAGGGATCGGGTGGTATCGAGCTCGGAGCAATTTTTAGATAACCCGCCTGTCATTGGATAAGGTAGGAGTCAAACTGGTAGACGTGCACATTTGCCATATTTTACTAACAGGGGTGTCAGATTTGTAGGCTCACGTTGGAATGGCCTGTTTTACTATACAATTTAATGTCGTTAAAGCTCAGGTCAATTCCCTGTCAAGCATCAAGCATTGTATCTGTTAGTTTTTTATTGAGAGCCCTGCCCAACAAAAAATAATCCTTAAACTGAAATTACGAAATGTGTTGCAGATAAGGAATAAAATTCTCTTTGACATGGAAGTTCTTGTAAGAAACAGTTTGCCGATTCAGTTGAACTGGCTCCATTTAACAAGCAAGCGAAGCAGATGACCCGAATGGGCCGCGTGCGTGCATGCGGCTTCTGGCAACGTTTGAATCGCGGGTTTAAGTGGATAATCGCATATGGGAGTGAAAGGTAATAACACCTCGTGAGAGATAACTTCGCTTCTTTCACTGCAGTGCAATCAAATGCACATGAGAAGCTTTAGCATATACAAAAAAAAAATGTGTTGAGAGGAAGAAGGAGAAGAAAGTCGAAGGAAAGAAATATAGAGAGAGTTCCTGGGTTTCAATTGTTGGCGTCGAGGAAGACAGTGAGAGTAAGCAAAGCAAGAGAGAAGGAAGTTGGTTCGACACTCGGCTTGGAAAGGTAAGGGAATTTTAAGAATTAAAATTCCTATATAACTAATTTAGTATTAAAAAAAACAATAATTAATATCAGGATTTATTTAAAAATATTTCAAATTAAATTTATATTAAGGTTGATTATTATTGTATTTTAAATAAGTGAATACATAAAATAATAATAATAATAATAAAATAAGACTATATTTTAAGTAGTTAATTAAGAAGAGAAGTTGTTAGATATACAAATTTTATTTTAGAAATTAATAATAAAAAAGAATAAATTGATATTTAAATGAGAGATTATGAGATTCAAATAGGATATGGATTTTAATTGAAAATACTAATTAAAATAATTAACTATTCAAATATGAATTGAATGATTTGTGATAATTGATATATTAATAGTAAAGAAAATAATGTTTAAATATAGACAGACACAAAGAGAGAACGAATATTTTAAAGATTCAATTTTAATTAGTGGAATTAACTAGTTAATTAGAAGAGGTGAGATTAATTGAATGTATTATAATGTGATCTTTTTATAGGCTTTAAATATATCATCATTGAAATAAGGAGCAAAAGTTAAATATCAAGACATCAACTTCAAGGTGAATATTCATGTTTCCATATTATGATAATTGTATTACTTCTAATTGCATTTAATTGTTATTGCAAATGATTTATTTTATTGCTTCTTAAAATTATATTGCAAATGATTTATCTCTCACATATCAAATGATTGAGCATGATTAGCATGTTATATTTTACATTACTACATAAAATTAAAAAATGTAATATGAATGAAATGACTAGATAGATATGCTTGCATGTGCATATTAACTGATGGAGCACACCCCCTTAAGGTACTGGCTGGAGACGCAATGTGCTCGTACACGTAAATGGAAAAGGTTATGGAAAAAAAAGGAAATGAAAAATGAGTACCTTTATTGGTACTATTTTATACGGTGGCTCCTGTGACGATTGTATTATTTACGAGAAAGGATAAAAGTATGGATAAAGATATGATATATACATAACATTAAAAGTCTTGAAATGAAATGATTAAATAGAATTACTTTATGAATTGAAATGATCATGCATATTATTCCAAATGTCTTGAGTTATAATAGTTTAAAAGCATGATAAGAATCTTCAACTCCTTTTCATTTATATTGTTATAGAAGCGGGGATTTGGGAGAAATGACGGTGGAAGAGAGGAACAATTTGGAAGAAAGGAATGAAGAAGGTTTGTTTATTTTTTTATATAAATTTTGTTTCTTATTCTTCATATGATTAGTAGAAATATTTAACTAAAGATAAGATAGACAATTGGAAGTGAGGAGAAGAGATTTGAGAAAGAAAGAGGAAGAATTTTGGGATTTTTGGAAAATCCCCATTGTAAGTAAATTTCTATCATGTAATTGTTATTAAATTTTCTTAGCTAAATCAAGTTTTCATGAAAATTTTATTATACAATTTTAGAGATTTTGTAAAGAAAGATATCGAAGTTGTAGGAGTTCGATTCAACAAGAATTCCGCAAGGAAGAAGATTCGAGGTTTGAAGTTGTACCAAGGATCGCGAATTTGAAAGAATCAAAGTGTGTATTTGCATAACTTTCTTTAATGTATTCTTTTCTATTTTAAAAGGAGCATGTTACATAAACAATTTAAGACTCATGAATTGTTTTATAATTATTATTTATGAAATATGCAATGTATATACAAGTATACAATTATGTGAAAGTAATTGTATGCAAAGAAATGCCTATAAGAAAAATATAAAGTAAAGTTATAAAGTCTTTATACATATATGTGTGTCAAAAGTAGATATATGAATGAATGATATATAAGTGAATGAAAGATAAATAAAAAGAAAATAAAAAAAGGAAAAGGATATGCATTAAAATGTACAGGAGTTCACTCCCGTATATTAGTAGCTAGGGTTGCAACGTACCCGTGCACGAAAAAGGGAAAAGATAATGGAAAGGAAAATAAAAATGGTTGTACCTTTCGTACATATAGATGATGCTCATGTACAAAATAAATGGAAAAATGAATATATGTTAATGTTAATGATATAAATGAATATAAAAAAGTATGTATAGATGAATGAAGGAAATATGATATAGTATTGATAAATGAATGAATGAAATGAATCAAAGAAGTAAATATATCTCAAATGTTAAATTAATGAACATGCATCTAAAGTAATATATATATAATACTTTATGCATATAAATTGTTTTAACAATTACCCACTGAGTTTACTTTGTAAATTCATTCCATTAAATGAAATTTTTTAGGAAAATTCCAAAGTTTTAGAAATGGCCAAAAGGGAAGAGTTCTTCTATAGAGATGGCGTGCAAATGACAACAATTAATTTATGATTTAATACAAATGTGTAGAATTCGAATAAATTTTGAAATACTGGCTCTTTGATAAACTTGAGAAAGTTTTATATTATATTATTTATGAATTATACTGATTTGATTCTACCGTCCGATTTCAGTTCCCGCCTCGTTAAATCGAGCATTCGGGCCGGGTCGTAACATAAGGTAGGTAAGGTAATAGATAATGGATGAAATACATGTTGAAAGTTAGAGCTATGATTGATGTTACAATAATTTGGTTAAGAAATCTTTTTAATGAAATATCATACGAAAGAGGGCAGTAAATGAATGAAGAACTTATTAATATATAAGAACAATAGATATATTCAAAACTATGATAATTATAAGATAATTAAACTTATTAATTACAAAAATTTCGGAGAATGTATTGGAACATAAGTTTAGAATTAATCACACAAATATCAATTAATTAATTTTTATTTGTGCTAAACATCAATAATATAGGTCATTTTTCATGCTACATGATTATGGTAAAGCATAAAAACCGATGACAGGATTTTTACAAGATTTTTATTGATTTCAAAAAATTGTATAGCCGATTGAGTTTGAAAAATTGATTATTTGGAATTGAAGAAAAAAATATGTACAATAAAGATATGTTGAAGTTATTCAAATTTCAAAATATACATGATGGATAACTAAATAGTATTAGAACTCGTCCTAAAGTGAGTAAAGAATATACAATCGCATTAGGATTACATTGAAGCGCATTACTGTTGATTTTGTAACTTTTTTTCATTAGTAATGAGATACTTACAAAGATATTCAAAATCAAGTATCTTTCTATACTACTTTCATATGATAAGAGCATACCCAATGCACGAAGCTCCTGCTAATACATGGAGTGGGGAGGGGTTAATCTACACAACCTTACACTTAAATTTGTAAAGATGTCGTTTCTATGACCCTTAACATTGTATGATGTTCTATTAAAACATAAAACATCCTTTTGAATCTAAAAAGGTTAGAATTAGTGAAATTTTATTTGAGTAATTAATATTAGATAAACGATTTTAGTGTATATGAAATTTAGGATTTTCAATCATATTATCAAAAGATCAATGGCACTTATTATGTGATTGATTTTTAACATCTTGTATTTATAATAAAAAAATGGTCAATTAAGATACTTTAGAAGTTAATTATGGGTAATTAAAAATGAAAATGTTTCTTGAGAGTACTATAAAAATAAGAGAATATCATTAAACTTAAAGGTATATTTTATAACAGAACAATCACATAGGTTTATTACATGGATCCACATGATGGGCAATAAAGAGGTCATTGACAGACAATTGAACCTGATAGAAATCAGAAAATCAATATTGATATGTTATCAAAAAATCCATCTGATCAAGCACAAATCATGATTTAAAAAGTGAATCAATACTTTAGAATTAAAATCGGGACCATCCAAAATCTGATTTCAACAAACTTCTACTTGAAACAAATGTCTTAATAAGATGAACCTAACGATATAAAAAATGCTTTGATCTAAAATCCAGTAAGTCTAAATCAAGCACTCAAAGCAAAAGTGAAAACTTTGTGACATTCTTTAGCATAGCAAATAATTTCTACATCTTGTGTACTTATAATCAAAAAGAATGTCTCGACATAAGGATCCAACAAGACCTAAATTACTCGTTTTTTATGTCATTAAGACATTTAAATGCTTAAATAACAGTCTAAGATCCAATGAATCAGCACATATTGTATAATGAAGTGTTTGAGGATTTTGGCTAAAATAGTTACAAATAACTTAAAGAATTCTAAATAAACCCACCGTCTTTACATGAATAAGATCAGGACCTGAACCTAAAATTAGAGATAACTCCACCAGACGATCACCTTATGTGACAACCATCACCCGACCACAGTCATCCAACTATTATTTCCCAAACCCATCACCCAAGAGAAGTTATTCAACCATCATCATCCGACCACAATTGCTTAACTTTATCACATGTCGTTTCAAACAATATAGACATACGTTATCCCCAATAAGATTATTGTACGTCATCACACCAAAGCTAATGTCCATAGTCGCTAATAAGGCTGATACATGCCATCAAAACCAATATGGGCGCATGCAATCTTCAATAAGGTTAATGTATGTCATCAACACCAACACCAACAAATGCCATCCCTAATAGAGCCAATGCACGTCGTCGACACTAAGGTTGATGCACACCATCTCAAATAAGGTAGATGTCTGTCGTCGATGCTCGAAGTTAACACAAGACTTACACAGAACTTCTTGGTCTTTGATCTCCCCTCCAAAAAAAATAGTCGAACAAACCACTAATAATCTCTTGAAGACAAATCCAACGCATCAAGGTTGCCCCAACTTTCACCGTGAAAGGCATCTTCCTCATTTCATGTCTACAAAATTCTATAAATATCTTCCCCAATCGCATCCTCCAACATCAATTGTAGTCGGATCATTTCAACTAGGTTAGTCCTCTTATCTTGGGTTTTCCATCCAAAAATCTTGTTGTCTATGGCTATTCTCAACTTATATTTATTTATGTGTGATAAATATCTGTAATAAGTAATATACTATAAACCTCTCTACTATTGTGAATAATATGCGCATAACAAATATGGCTATGAGATAAAGAACAAAGAGCAATAAAAAAATTTACGAAAGAAGGGAAAATTGGTAATAGTAAGCCTATTAAAGAAGGTAGTAATAAATAAACTTTGATGGTACAAAAATTCATTTGAGGGAGAAGATTGAACAATAAAATAGATTGATAGAACTTCACAGAGAGATTAAAAGGAAAAGGGGTCCACCAAAAATAATAAGATTAGAAGTTGTAAAAAAATACATATTCAAAAATAGAATTAGCACCACATTATGATTGAAAAAATGAGAATGCACAAAGCTGACCTGAAAAATGTCAGATAAAGCTAACGGTGATGATGATAAAGAACCTATGTTTAGTTATTTCAATGCTCAAACTACATGAATAGAATGCTCATAGCTATAACTTGACAAAAACATGAAAATGTGTGCTTAATGATATGGATGAAACATCTAGCATTTTAGCACAGGAAGGAAAAGTCATAATTTTAAAGGTGATGATCCAAACTAATTGAAGAAGCAAAACTTAGAAAATGAAAGCAACTAAAAAAATTTCTTCAGATAAGCTTCAATTAGAAATTTCAACTACCTGAAATCCCGATATTTTTGATTAGACAAAGCCTTCAAGGGGGTTGTGTAGAAGAGTCGTCTTCCTTTGGCAACAGTAGCTATTGCAGAAGCTTCTGCAATTAATGTCTTCCCACTACTAGTTGGTGCAGAAACTACAACTGATGAACCCCTTAAAAATGCTTGTATAGCCAACCTCTATATAGAAATAGAAGACAGTAAATATCAAAAAGAAAATAAAGAAAGATCAGTGAACAAAATGCTCACCCAAAATGAAGTTAAATTCTTTTCAAACGAATAGTTTAGCAAACAAATTTATCAGATCAGAATAAAGTAAATCCATTCAACTAAGACACATAAAAACACGTCCAATTAGATTTTACGTTCTTAGTGCTGGCATGATATTGCTGTTTTTTTACGTGAGACATTAAATAAGAAATTAGGCGTTGATGTAAAAATAAACTTTTCAATAGCAAGAACACATGGACCCAATAAAATTGAGAGATTGAACAAAGAGAACGTTGTGAACTAAGTTGTAGGAAATGCAGTAGCTCCCAACAACAGTAGGTTACCGATAGCTTTACTCTAAGTGCTATTGAGAAACCCATAAAAGGGCTCTAAAAGTTGCATGGAAAATTCTAGTTTTACACAAAAATCCCTACTAGAATGCATTTTTAAACACGACATGACTGTAAATCCGTTCATGTTCATGTGAGTATTTCACAAGAACCTAGCAAGTTCTAACTAGATAACTCAACCAAAGCAGTCATCTTGCCCATCAAAAGCACTCGCCAGCAGGGAATTTAACTCGCCCCAATTGAGTGAATCAAGGAGTCATCACATACACATTTTTTTAAACTCATAAAGATTCATCCAAGCCCAAGGAAAAGACTTACCTTGGCAAAAACTAGCCTCCTGAGATCACTTGCCACCATCTAGGCCATCACGTTATCACTAATGTCCCCCGATCCAACTACAGGAAGTGCACACCTCAGAGGTCCAAGGCAATGCTCGAGATTCAGTCAATTCAGAGGCCCACACACTATCCTTAGAGATCCGTTGCTACATCTTTGAAAGTTTTTTTTCTCTTAAAAGTTAGACTCACCACTGCATCCAAAGGACTCGCTCAAAACATTTACCCATGAAGATTCACCCTAAAAAGAGGGCCACATTAGGAACAAAAATCCATATGGATGCCGGCCATGTGTTAAATACAATGAGTCATATTGAGCATTAAACTTTTAACTTTTTGGGTGTAGCATCTCATGTAACATTCTAAGCCTTATAAATAAGTGGTAAAGAGACACGCTATAAATCTTTTTAATACTTTTTTGTATTTTTGCATACTTAGCACTTTTATCTCTCTCATTCTACATACTCAACCAAACCTCTCTCAATTCTCTACTTTTTGCTTAAACAATTGTTGCTATAGTAAAGTCTAATGTCAATCACGGACAAATTTAAATCCAATATCCTGAAAGGTACGATGAGCTTTGGATTGATGTCGATGACAAAAAGACAAACTCATCTTAAAGAGCAATAGAACCAAGAGGCAGTTAATGAAAATGGATACCTCGAACTACACCGCTCATCACGACTTGATGGAGATGGAAGAAAGACTTGCCAAGATGATTCGATACATATTAAGAAGAATGCCAATAAATGCTACAAGGGAGACCATTCCAAAAGGACCCTCCGACTCCACTTTTCGTCACATGAGGCCAGAAAATAGGGCATTCACTTCAATACCCAATGTTGATCCCCGTCGCAGTCCCACCAGGAAAGAAGAGTACAAGGCAATGCTCAAGACTCAGTCAATTCTCAGCTCGTGGTCATCCTTGCCCAAGCTACTTGCACCTAGCATTCAGAGGTCCACGGACTACTCTTAGGGACCCGCTGCTACACCCTTGAAAATTTTTTTTCTCCCTTGAAAGTTAGACACACCATCGCATCCAAAGGACTCGCTCAAAACACTTACCCATGAAGATTGATTCACCCTAAAAAGAGGGCCACATTAAGGAATAAAAAGCCACATGGATGTCAGTCAATGAAGCGACGTGTTAAATACAATGAGTCATATTAAGCATTATACTTTTAACTTTTTGGTGCAACATTTCCTGTAACCTTTTAAACCTTGTAAATAAATGGTGAAGAGACACATTTTGGATCTTTTTAATACTTTTTGCATACTTAGCACTTTTATCTCTCTCTCTCTCTACATATTCAACCAAACCTCTCTCAATTCTCTAATTTTTGCTTAAACAATTGCAAGTATTCAACATTAGCAAGTGTCATGGACCATGGTGCACTTGCGGAGGGCCACCATATCACTTTCACTCACACTAGCTTGGGAGCATGAAAGAAACAAATGTTGAATTCACAATTAGAGCTCATGCACCTCATGAACAAATGAAAGGGTATTTATAGGAAAAGGCAGTAACATGAATTTGAGGCTTCAATCACATCTACAATTAATGCTTAGATTGTATCTATATCTTCTTCATCATTATCTAAAAATTCAATATATTTTCTCACTCCTCCCAAGTGCGACCTCCATTATGAGACTTCTTGGGACTCGCCTTAATCCAAAAGGTAGAGCATTCACCCCAACCTTGCAAGTTGTCAAAAACTCGACCCAATCATCACTAGGAGTCGCCATCGACCAATCACAACCTTGATTACTTCACACTTGCCATTTGAGGAATAATAAATAACTTACCTCAACAATGAAAAAAAAAAAACTTAGGTAACACCTCGCCGCTATCGAACATCCCCAATATAAATGACAAAGCATCCTTGAAATTTTCAGTTTGCATTGATTAAGTAAAGGAAAAGTACATAACAAGTATGGAGAAACGAATTGCCTTCCCTAGGCAAAAAACAAAAGAGGGAAGATCTAGAGCTATGTGGTAAACCATACAAGTATGAAAGACAAAATATAAAGCAGCAAAAGCACGGATAAGCCCCTTTGATTCGCAATGAGGCCAACCCCAATTGCTTGCCCAAAGGATACTAAAAATGATCAGAGAACCACTCCAGCGGGGGGAGATACCTATAAGGAGTATAGAACAGCCCGAAGGCTGAGAGATATCCCATTGCGCCAGACGTAGGATGAACATCTTTAGTATCCAAGGACAAGAATCAAGGTAGGACCTCATTGTTCCTCAAAGGGGACAAAGTCCCCGCCAGTGTCATCTTGTAAGTTCTTCTTCCTCTTCCTAGGCAGAGTGGCAATGGGCCCAAGTTGAAGAAGCTGCTTCTCCAAGTATGCCTTGGAAGCCTTGTGTTGTCGTTTGGAAAGATTCACCTCAAAAGAGGAGGGGTCGGGTATAGTCCTTTCAGCATTAAAGACAATCGTTTGATGCTTGCTATAGTGGCCTTTTGGGCTAACAATCCGCTTTGATGTGTCTTCTATGTTTTGGAGCTGCTCCCTGGCTGTTTGGGCTGGTTGATCAGTCACCGTTTGCTGAAGAGTGAGTTAAAACAAAATATACACAAAATAAAATAAATGACAAAGCATCCTACACACGCATGATAAAGCAGTTACCAAAAAGACAGTGAGTTAAAACAAAATAAAGAAATAATACCCACTTTTCATAAAGGTAATCAAGGAAACTAAAATTTATCACATAGAATTTTTTTTTATATTTGCATGTCTATATACATTAAAAAGAAAAGAGAGGACAAACCTACTCGTCCCAAGTAAAAATCCTACA